CTACAACCCATGTCTAAGCAAAAGCTTGTCGAGGAGCGAGGGGAAGAAGAAGAGCTGTATAACCAACCATTTGTGCACATAAATAATCCAAACAGACAGAATCGAGGGGTTCCGTCGGCTTTTGCTACAATGTTGTTGTTGTTGTTGTCTTCACATTAAAAACCATCCCGGTCTCTCTATCCAGTACCTCCTTCTGTCTCAATCTCTCCGTACTAATCCATCACTTGACTCGGATGGTTTTTAATGTGAAGACAACAACAACAANTCGCACAGAGACAGGGATATCCCTAGAGACAGTCTGAACGCGACAGCAAACGGGGGAGAGGGCAACAGAAAAATTAGTCGTTGAAATTCGACCGCAACATGTCACGTCACGCGGTCGGTCTCTTCTCGCTTGCTTTCTTCCCGCCGCGCCGTACAATAGTGACCGCCGATCCCCATGAACTGGGTCGCTGTTTAATGATATCATCAGCTTCCCTGATTTGTGCTGTAACAATTAGCATTTATCTTTTTGCTCACAGGCCTGCGTGCGGACCACCACACGCTTTCTGCGCAATTTCTGTCGGGCGCTGTGAGCGCAGCAGGCTTTTCACTTGGTTTCAGTATGCAAATCGCTCCGAAATCGGCCCAGAAAACGGCACTCGATCGCCCTCGTACCTCCGTTTCAAAGTGCGTGTTTTCGTCGCCCGGGGGCCGTTTTGCGGTCCGGTTGGCGTTGGACGCTGCCACTTACCGCTCCTGCGACCCATATCGGTGCTGCGCGCGGGCTTTCTTATCCCGCGTTTCTCTCTCTCCGAGACCCGCTCTGCTCTCACATCGGCAACGGTGGGTCTTTTTTTTTTCGTGTGCAGACCACTCCGGGAGGGAACACAACAATTTCATCCGTCTTTTTTTTTTTTTTCATCGCTGCTGCCATACAGCTTCGTGTCTCTCTCCTTCCTATGTCTCTCGCTCCCATTGGGCGCTACGTTCTTCCGTTCCTTACGCGGTGGCGGTGTCCTCAGTCTTTTCCTGACTCCCTGCGTTTTTTTTTCGTTTTTCTTTGCGCAAATTATTAAGGAGAAATACACGCACAGAAAGACTACCCATTCGAGATATACCCACAGCAGTCGAACGGGATGTGGTGGAGTCTTTAAATTATATACACACGGAATGCTGCGGACCACCACGTGCCCCTTCGTCTTTGACTTTCTCTCTCTATCTCTCTCCTCACTCTCCATCTATCGCCCTCGCTCTCTGTCCCCGCCCCCACGGTCGGCGCCCACCCACCACACCTCATTCACAATCCTCCCCACACCGAGTAGATGGCTTCTCGCAACATTTTTGCTGCCACCCCGCCTAGCTCCAAACGCAAAACAGCCGAAGTGCTCGGGAAGTGTGCGCGGTGTGACAACGCCGAAGTCACGCGCTGCTCCGCGACTTTCGGCGGCTGCGAAAACTACAACTCCTCCGGCTGCAGGTACAAGATCAGCATCCTCTCGGCTGCAGCGCGCTGCGTTACCTGCCTCGCGGACGTCAACCCCGGCGTCCTTTGCTTGGGCGTGCCCAATCTCAAGGGGACGAAGAACACCCGCGGCAAGACGGGTAGGTCGCATCTCTGTTTTGGTCTGTTAAGCTTTTTTGCACGTTTTCGTTTTCTCTGTGTTGCATTGCCTTTGTCTCCTCCGGCCATGTCTGCGATCCTCGATCTATCTATGTAGATCCACCTCCTGCACATGCAGTTCTTCCCGCTCCGTGTCATATCTGTGATTGATTGCTCGTGTCGTTCCCTGTCATTTCTGTGATTGCTCGTGTCGCTCATTTTTTCTCTCATTCGGGTCTCCTCGAATATTATCGTTTGTGCGTCCATCGTTATCTCAGCGTACGTCAACACGCATTTTTTCTCTCATTCGGGTCTCCTCGAATGTTATCGTTGTGCGTGCGCCATCGTTATCTCAGCGTACGTCAACACACACCTACGCTGGGAGGACTGTCTCGGGCAGAAGGTGAAACTAGGCAAGGAGGGAAAGTCCGCCTTCAAGTTCATCGAGCGGGTCGATCAAGAGGACAGCAGGATCGGGGTGAGTCCCGGGTGTTCCGTGTCGTATGTTTTCGTGGTCAGCGCTGCTTCTCACTTTGTGGCCACAGCTTTGGCCGGAAGAACATTTGCGCACCACCTGCATTTTTTTCTCGATTTGTGGCGCTGCTGTGTCCGACTACGTTCCATTCTTATTCTTCATTAATTTTCTTTGTGGACGCAAGCAGAGTAATACGTTTTCTTTTAATTACTTTATTCCGGTGTGGACGGAAGCAGGTCCCGTGCGCCCGCTGCACGGACGAGATCGTCGAGGGAGACTTCGTCATCTCCACGTACCAGCCCGACGCTGAGAACCCTCTCCCGGCGAACAACCCCCTCCACGCCAAGGGCTGCGCGCGTGCCGTCTTCGACGACAACCACGAGCAGTTCGTGGACAACATGATGCTGGAGGGTATCTCCTCCGACAAGGTCGTCAGCGCGGACAGCATCGACTTCGACTTCTGAAGTGAGTGCTGTGAGGTCTAAATTTGGGCTTCTGTTCGGCACATGCCTCGGTCGGCTTTTGCGCCGCCAAATCATTCGGCTTTCACGCCACGTTCGGCAATTCTGCCACAAAATCATTCGGCTATTCTGCCAACCATTCAAGAAATTCGTGTCGAGGCAAAGTCCTTGCCGTTCAGTGACCTCAGGTCTCGTGTTGAGGATATTCGTGGCCGTGTTCAGGAATCTCCTGCTGTCACTAGCGCAGATGCTGTGATTATGCACGTCTATCATACGCGGACCGCCAAATGTCTGCGTGGGCGTTGCAATTTTCTTTCGTTTCGAGGCGCTACAAATTCATGCACAAAACATTCGGAGTTGTGCGCGTGTCGGAGTAGTCTCTGATGTACAGTCCAAGGTCATGCGGACATATCACATTCTGAAATTGCGTCGTGTACGGTTGAAAGCAGCGGTAAACCAGGAAACTGCAAAGGTGACTAGACCGAACTCGCGCAGCGGGAAACTAGCGAGCAAAGCAGACGATTCGAGCCGGGCTCAACCTAAATCGAGCACCCGTGAAACAAGAAGCACTCGGGCCCAACCTAAACCAAGCACCCGTCGGTGTAGCAAAAAAGCGAAAACTGTTGACGAACTCAAGGCAGAGATAGTACCGCGGACGACCAGGCCAAGGGCCGCTGCTGCGGCCAGACAAACAGACGCGAAACCCAATAGCGATCCTTCGGCTCAGTCAAAAACACGCAGACGTGTCGGGGATGCCGAAAAGGAAGATCATACTAAGCAGCAGGGTAACGACGATGGAAGTAATAGTCATCAGGATGAACCGCGGCCAATTATAGGTGCCGATCAAGTAGCGCAGCGGTTGCACACAGAAATGACTTCGAATGGTTTCACGGGTCGCCTGTCCGACGCGTTGGTTGGTGCTATTCGACTGGCTGCTAGAGATGGAACGGTTACTAGTGAGCAGTCCACCGCGATGCGCCGTCATGTGATTTTCCATCCCAATTCCATATCAAGAAGGACAGCGTTGCGCAGACGCGCTGCAAGACGACGACGACAGCAGAATCCACGTCTTGGTATCGTAAGCTTTGGCGATTGCACGGTGTCTCTTCCTGACGAACACAAGTTAGAGTTTCCTCTTCTATCGGACCCCAACAACAAGGTTTGCCAGCACTGTGGAGCATGCTCTGGAAAGAAGAGACAATCGGCTGTTGCGGAAACGGCCAGTATGCCGTTCCGAATTTGCGTCCGTTGCCGGACGAGGTCCAAGAACTT